ATATAATGCCATCGCAGTAAGTGTAAATGGCACTGTGGAGATGAGTTAAAACAGCAGGTCTTTGCTCTAAAAAGCTTAAAAATAACAAGCTAGCTCCACTTTACTGCACTGACTTGATGGGGGCAGATTTTGGCCTTAGATTAGACAAAACATAGCTCAGAACAAATAAATGTACAGGAAGGACTGAAGCAGTTCCCGGTCACCTTTCAAATTCGTATCTGTTTAGTAGAAGATTTCTTGTTCTAGGTTAGTATGCAACATAACATAAAGCTTGGTCTTTGCCTGTTATTTATTTTTAGTGGATGATGGGAAAAGTGAGACTAGCAGACATCATGCAACCTGACAACACAAATAAGCCCCTGAGAAAACAAAAGCTGGCAAACAAACAGCCCATGTACAGCATAAACACAAATTCTTCAGGAAAATGCAAGGGTTTTAAGGACAGGGTTTTTAACACCCTGAACTCACATACATACTTTCATTTATTGTGGGTTAGAGAATTTTGCAGAAAGTCTCTGGCATAGCCCATTAACGGCTTTGGAAGAAGCAAACTTGTACTAGAGACATCATAAAGCCAGACAGCAGAAGCTCAGATGATTTCCAATTTCACAGCAACAACCAAAATCAGATTTCATGAATATAAAACACTGGGGGTTTTATTTACTATTATTTCTAATAACATTTATTAGAAATAATGGTCCCTATTAAAGGATAATGAAATTCACAGACTGCCACATGGATGAAGTTAGAAATCTTTTCAAAAACCACTCATGCAAAATCTGCACAAGTTCAGTGATGGTTAATGGATCAGGAGGATCCCCAAAGGAGCATGCCAGAATTCTCCTGCACAAGACGGTAGAAAATGGGACTGCAGAGCTGAAAGTTGTGGGAAAACAGAAGCTGAGTCGTCCTCTGCGTGTGAGGGCTGAGGCTATAGAAAATCCATGTTTCCTTTGTTCTTTCAGGTCCCAATTCCCGTGTCAAGTCATGTTGTGCTCAGGGCAGGATCTGAGAGTTAAAGTCAATAAGTCACCCTTTTGTTTGACTTTTTATTTTCAGGCTGCTGTGAAAGGATGTAATTTAGAGCAAGGAGTTCTGGATGTGGTTCAGACTACCTTTTGCTAAAACTTTCAATAACAGTGGAACAGCCTCACTAGAAATATCATCAGAAGTTTTTTATAAGTATTATTAAATGCCAAAGGATGAGAATTTTAGCCGTAAAAACACTTGATGTTTGAACTGAGATTCTCTCCCAAGCTGTTGCATACAACTAAAACCAATGGATGGCTTTTACAAGGGGAGAAGCAATTTAAGACATTAAAATGTCATTTTAGTTGTCAGACAATTCTGTCTGGCCCCCTATGCAATACACCATTTGCACTTCCCATATTATAATAAAAATTATGTATAGTGAGGTATTCAATAGGCAATCATGTAGGAGAAAATATTTACTCCAGTAGCAGACTGGCAGCTTTCTCAGCAAGTTTCACAGACACAGAAATGAAAAGGAATGAGAGAGCATTTTGCTTTCATGTAAAAGGTCATCAAATGCTCTGTTCAGTATCTCACTGGGAGTTTATTCAGCATCACCCTTTGTCCCTGAAACTATCATATCCCAAACCAGGAGTTGCTGAAGACACATCTGATAAAATGTCAGCCAGGGACTCCTGCATGGCATGGCCAGGTAGAAACTAGAGTGTGACACACACACCATCAGCTAGCATCTGGACAGGGGACATACTGAGAACTCAGAAAGTGAGAGATTAAAAACATGGCAAGATTTCATTGTCCTTCTATCCCATCAGAGCAAACAGTTCTGAATTTGACCACCAAGCTTTGTCTCCTCAGTCACTTTGTCCATGTTGACCTATTTTCCATGATTTGCTCGTCGTCCAACTCCCTGCTCACACAGACAAGTCGTACAAGACAGACTTTTGCTTTCCCTGACCCTAATCAGCAGAAATGCTCTGGCGATGAGTAAGCCTTACATTTCACATACAGGAAATGCATCTCCCATATCCTTACAGCTGCCTGTGCATCTCTGCAGGACTTTTCCATTACAGGCAAGCATTTCTTGTGAGAAGAACTCAGTTGAGGAACAAATAACACTGCATGCATGATGCTGGTTTTGGCATTTCATAACCAAGGAGAATTGTTAGCACACTTTGTATGTATTACATGCTTTCAGAGTCAGATGAGATGCTTTTGTGTGCCTGATCCCTCATACAAGCAAAGCGCAGGATGGTGTAACCAGGCAGTACTTTAATTCCCAGGACCCAAATCGCGTGTCTGAGCACTTCTGAACCTTTTCTGGAATTCAAATGCAAATCTAAGTTGTAGCTTTCACTCCCAACTTCCCACCAGGCCACAGTAAAACCCCAGATCTCAACAACAGAAAACCTTAGTACATCCAGGTATGCTTCATCCATCCTGGCACTACAGAATTAGCACAACATGATTCACTGTACTTCTGAGTGAGACTTCAGAAGATTTGCTCACGTGTGGCACTTGAGGCTGAACTTCATCCCAGGCCTGCCCAAAACCAGGAGCAACAAGAGGGCTAAAGGACTCCGATGCTTGAACAGACCTGCATCTTGCTGGTGTCTGCCTGTGGCTTGAGGAGGACGGGATCTGAGGATGGCCACAAGCTGCCGTCTGCGTCATTGTGAAGCCGAGCAGAGGGCTGTGTGACACAAAAGCCTCCAGGAGCCACGGCAGCTCCTGAGACAGATGAAACCTTCCCTGGGGACTGGGCTTACCGCCCTGCCTCCAGTAAGTTAAAGTCGGAGTGCAGCCCCGCACCTTAAGAGATTCATTGGTGAACTAAGCAGAATTCAATTTCTGTTGGATCTTATCGAGTTAAAGCAATCCCAAATGACCTGAAATTTTTCAAACATTGTTTTTTCATCCTTAATTTTCAGACAGATAATGAAATTAGAAAGATGATATATTTTTTCAAGTGAAGTAAACCAGCAAACAGAACATACCGAGAACTTCTTTCCTCCTCTGCACTAGTGAAATTTGGCTCACTCCTGCAAATCATGCCGAGTCAATTAGATATGCAAATATGCATACTCAAAATTTGCATTTGCATTGCCATGCTTTGATTCATAGCCATGGCAATCATATATTCTGGTGACCAGTTAGATTTTGAGTTGGGTCATTGTGCGTAAAATCTCAGAAACTATCACAGAAAATGAAGCGTGCATTTTTGTGGATGTAGACATGGGCAGGCAATTCCAAAAGTCTGTGTCTGTATGACCTGCGAGTGTCTGTATGTTTGACTAGCTCGTAAGACTCGGTATGTCTCTGCCATCTACATCCATGCTTACTTTACCTATAAGGGTGCAGTTTGAATTGCAGGAATATTTAGGATTTTGTGAATGCGCAGGGAAAGCATCGCTGGTGCAATCATGTGTATCTCATTTCCAGCATGCAAAATCTTCTATCTGCAATGGCAAACACAGTAGCCCACAGGCTGAGGCTACAAAAATTTAGTGTGTTTTGCAATTCCCATTAATTATTTTGCAGCCATTTCTTTGAATATTTACTGTAAAGTCTAGGGACATTTGTATTTCTTATATCCGTATGTCCAGACACCACAAAAAATTTCTAAAAATCGCCCACAGTTTGGTTACATTTCACTTTAGTCTAGAAATGCAGAGAACTCATGTTTAGATTTTATCAAGAAAGAAGGTAGCAAATGTCAAACAAAAATAGGACCTGAAAAGAAATAAAACAAATAATTCAAAATACTTGTTTAAAAAGTTACAAAATATGACAGCATTAATGGCACTTAAAGCTATAAGCACTTAAAAGATTACCACCAATTTTTTCTCAACCTCTTTTCCTAAATTTCTTTTTTCTTTTTTCTTCTGAGATTATGACTGCAGCTTATGTCTAAACCCAAACCCAGCAAAAGGGGCAGAGAGCCCTGAGATTCTATGGTTGCCCTGGCCCTCATTTGAATAGTGTATATGCTCTTATGTCTATTTTTAAAAATTCAGATTCAGCTACAGAGAACAGCAGTTTGCTGACATGCAAAAGCTATAGCTTTCCTTCTGTCTTCATAGTCTTACAGCATTAAAATTGAAGGGTTTTTTTCAGTGGTAGAAAGTGTGAATGAGAAATTCTTTTAAAAAAACCAGTTGGCCCACTGTTTTATACACCTAGCCAAATATCATTAAATTAATGTTTCTCTTCTTTTAAACAACATAGCACGAGTTGTTGCATTTTCTTCATATGCACTTTCTTGCTGTGACTTTACATTGAATATTTCCTACACGAGAAAAAAAATCCATTTGTTTCTTTTCCTTTTTTTTTTGTCACTGGTTAAGATTAATACCCACGGAGTTTTTTGTTGTTTTATTTTTTAATGAAAAGAGCAATCCGACCCTTAAATATGTCCGTGTTGATTTTTCAAACCAGCACCCAGCTGGTGGCTGTCTATGGACATTCTTTTGGAGTTTAGAAAGATAATTCATCTGATTCAAAAATGAAAAAAAAAAAAAATCTAGCTTGGATCACGTGCCAAAACATAAACTAAGCCTTACTGAAAGTTTCTAGTTCACTCCAATCATTTCTCCTCTTTTTAGTCACCAGGGGAAGGCTTTATGGATGCATACTCCATTACAAAGATCCCTTTTCATCCCTTTCAAAGGCTCTTCTTACATAGCTGCCCTTTGTCTAATATTATGCCATGGTCATGGTAGGAGCACTCTGGTGATATTGCCATGGTTCAATCTCTTCCTTTGTGTCTTGCCCTGGTAATCTTATACAGGCTGAAATTTCCATGTGTGTAGCTTTCTGTTGCCATTCTGCAGTGCTGTGTTCCTGGTTTGTTTTGGCAGAGCAAGCTTGAGTCTTTATGGCACAGTGAAATATTCTTCGATGCTATATAATTCAGACTGAATAAGGAGTCTGTATAAGGCACGTGTCTCAATATATATATGTATATAAAAACACTAACATTGTTAATTCAAGTCAAGCATCTTTTACATTTAATTTCTGTCTTCAAGTAACGCTTTGTTTTCATGTTCCCTTTCTTTGGTTTCATTGGGGATCATTCCATTCTCCAGGTCTGAGTGCTGCTGGATGCAGTTGGTCAGGACTGCAGTGCTAGAAGAGTTCTCAGAATTACACATCTTCTCCGTCTCCTCTTCCTTTTTTTCTTCATCCAAGGAGTAGTTTCGGAAGGTCTCGTAAATTTTACGCACATCCTCAGGGATGGTCTTTTTGAGGTCTTTGTTTTTCCTTTTGGTCATCTTAGCAGACGATCCAAACTTGTTAATGATGTTGTCCTCAGATGCCCCCTGCCCATGTTTGTTGAGCTGATCTGACCCTTTAAGGCGCAGGTTGTTAGGCCTGTTGTTGATGCTTTCCTGAGATGAGGCCTTGAAGCGTCCTGTTTCCAAGGCAGTAAAGACAGAACGCTTCTCTGGAGAGAGCATGTCTAAGGAGTGGGCTCGCTGGTCCAGGCCCAGGCGCCTGCGCTCCATGCTCCGGATGGTGGCTGCCCGCTGAAGTTTGTCGTGGATCTCCACGCTGAGCCGCCTCCGTGTCTCTCTGAACTCAGCTGTCACATTCGCTTTCCACTCCGCTGCGTGGGCTTTTATTTCTCCAACCTTTACCACAACAAGAAAGAGAAATAAATAAAAAAAAAAAAAGGAAAAGCAAAATGAAGCGACAGTCTTTCCTATGGAACAGCAGCACAAGCACTTTCTTCTCTGGCATAAAATCGGAGACCAGTCCCAGCTCCAGTGCATCCATCTGGACCCAAACTTCAGCAACAAAGTGGTTATACTGGGCAAGCTCTAAACACCCCAACTAGTGACTAGCTAATAGTTTATGTGGCATATAACTTGTCTGCCTGTTTCACATTTGGCACCCCACACATTTTATAGCTGTGTTACATGATGGGTGGTGTTCATGCTAATCCCTCCTTGGTTAAGAACAAAATTCCTGACATGTCAGCAGTAGATGGTCAGGAGTGGGCAAAATTAATCACATATAGTTATACCAATATGCTTCAGAACAGCACAACAACCAATGTAGCAATACAGTAATGTATTTTCCTGTATTGTCCATGGATGGAGCTGTTCAGTCCCACTGAGGGTTCTGTTCAGTGCCACAGAGCCACAGAGCAATTAACGTTGGAAATACTGATTAGATAATTTCAAGTGGACCTCTGACTGATCCAGTCTAGGGTTCATTCTCAGGGACAAATATAGCTGTCTTTAACGGAAGTTTCCATTGCATAACTGTCTGAATACCACCCTCTCAAGCCAGCTGGAGGAGTTTTCAACAAATATTCTGTGTGGGCACCATGAGCATGTCCTTAAATGCCTCACTGTTTTGCTCTGTTTTACTCCTTTGCACCTGAGAGCAGAATAATGGCTAAAAACAAAGCACCTACCTGGCTGCTGTATTGAATAAATATTTCTTCCGAAGTGAGAAAAAAGAAGATAAATGACCAAGCAATATCTCAGTCAACACAGGCCTTTTCCAAAGTTCAGCTAAAGGAGAACAGATTCAGGAGTATGATGTCCGCAGGAGCCCACCAATGTCAATGGTTTGCTTGGGCTGCTGTAGCCAGAACTCAGTTTCTGCATTCAGTGATCCACAAGGAAGTCATCTTTGGTTCCTCAGGCCAGATGAGCAGGTGTCCATTTAGAACTGTATTACTTGTGGCAGCAGGAATCTAACATCCACCATGAGAGATCAGATTCCCACCTATAGGTGCCTGCTGATGATCAACCTGACAGCCAAACTCTCTGTGAAGCCCTCTTTATTAATGGAGGTGCACAGGGGATGCACCGGGCCTCAGATAGCGCAGATGCCTTCATATATGATAAACAGCACTACCCCTCTGGCAAACTTTGTCTGTGGCTGCTTTTTGGCTAACCCTGCCAGGTTAGCTTTGCTAGTAATGCAGGAGGAGATGATAGCCTTAAAAACTGAAATTACATTATTAACATCCTCCACAATAGGCTTCAGCTCTAGAGTCATGGCAATTGTCTTCTATTTTCCACCCTTATTTGAGTGAAGCATTAGCAATACTGTCTTTGTATCACACAGGGCATGTTCTGAGTGAATTTAATCATGTTCTCCCTGATGCTGACTACTCAGTTTCTTCAATTTTTAATAATATGGTACTCAGTAAGGAGCCTGAATCTAAACCTTTATTCAGAACCATATTCTCTGGCATAGGGAAAGGTGGGAAAACTCAATATAAAACTGGTTTAAAGGCAGATTCTTGTTTCATAATGAAGATAGCCAACTAATGTCTTCAAAACCCATGCATCTCCAATTTTTAAAGAGAGAACACTGAAATTTTTATCACAATTTTGTAGCTAGTTTCAGAGTGAAGGCTGGCCTCTCTTATTCCATAACTGCAATCCTACTGATGTGTCCTGTGTATTTGGTAGTACTGATAGAGGTGTAACAACCTAGGTTACTTCAGTTGCTTTTTTTCTTCCCTTTGTGAAGGAGATAAAGATCAGAGCTAACTTGATACCAAAGGCAGCCAGTGGAGTAAACCATGGGGAATATTGAGCATTGGTCATGCAGAGGAGCATCCTTCTTTAGATAAGCAGAAATCAGGCACTTAAAGCTCTCTCATAAAATGACAAACCACTGAGAAATTACTAGTCATACCTCTTCTTTTGTCTTCTTGGACAGGACTCTTAACCAGTCTCCAATCATACTCAGGACAGCAGCAAAATAAGCAAGGCCAACAAGGATCCAGAACCACACTAAGGGTTTATACCACTCCCGGTAATGGATGTCAGCATTTCCTCCTGAAATAAGCATACTTATGCTTAGGAATCATGAGATGCCAAAATTATGACAAAATATCTGCAATTCTGAGAAAGTATTTCTTGACTCTTGCCAACACCACTGTAGTTCTAATAATAGATGAGAGGCCTGTCAGATGGGAGGAACACAGTGTGTTCTTAATTTAAGTCTCTTCAAAATTACCTATTGTTCTGCTGCTATGTGACCTGCCAGAGCACCTAGTAAACACTTTTCTTTATATTGCTCATACTCTGAAGCAAGTCTGAAATTCCTGCTTTGATAGTACTTGCAACAGCATGAACGTATTTCCAAGAAAAAAGTTTAATACAGGTAATCTTCCTTACTCTGAACTGCCTGCAGCCTGGTAGTTGAGAAACTTTACAGTTCAACCCCCTCAGGTTACAGAGTTTCCGGATTTTTTTGGTTTTATCTACAGGATTGAGAGACCTATGTGCAGGAGGACCTATGTCTTCCCCTCCAAATCAGGATATCTGACAGGAAGCCAACCGTGTATCAGCCCTGATAATAAGGAAATACTGTCTGCTTGGGTATTAGTTATAGGGGTGCATTCTCTGGCCAGTGGCTTGAGAGGAGATATGGATCAAACGAAGCAACAAATATCCTATATGGTCTTCATGCAACTCTCAGGATGATCTGGTAAAACAAGTATATGAGACATTTGGGAAATCTAATGGACTACGAAGAGCCTAAAGTAAGTGCAGTAGCAGCCAGGCTGCTGCCTACCACAGAATAGAATAAACTTTTCCAAAAGAAAGCAGCCACCACCTCACTTTGGAGACTCCCAGTTCTATCACAGCGCTATGTGCACTGCAAGAATGAAAGCCAGTGAGAGGTAGGCACAGCCCTGAGCTGAAGACAGCAGTGGCAAAGAGTCTGCACAGCCCCATGGGCACAGCCATATCCCTCAGTGCAGGTGAACAAACACCACCTTGGTGGTACCTGTGTAAATCGCTGCTTGAAGAGCAAGCTTACCGGGGGACTCAGGCAGAGGATTGCATATTTTCTGGACTCCAGCCTTGGTTAGTCAAGAGCTAGACACCAACCTGTACCTCTGTATGACTACAGAGAGATTTTAGGATTTTCCCCCATTAAAATCACCAGACAACACAGTTCAGCATTTCCCCCTGAGCTTTTTGCAATCTGAGACATTCCTGTGACTCTTTAATTTTATCCAGACTCAGTATGACTGTATGTACAGTGTTCAAACATCCCCATAGAAGGTCAGACATTTGAGAATTGGAAGGGACCCACATATTGGTTTTGATATTAAACTCTCCCCATAGACAACATGAATCACTCTGTTTTTTCCAGTCTTTAAGAGTGTGAAACAATGTGAGGTGGGGGCTGCTGTTGCTATGGTACAATGAGGCTCTTCTTATCATACGTGTCCCTGAGGAAGCTTGCTATGAAACAGATTGTCCAGGTCTATCTTACGGAGTAATCAGGTGGCTGAGAAAGTATGAGACCACTTTTTTCAGCCTATCAGATATTCTGTTTTTTCAGGCTCCATCCACAATTGTATCTCCAACAGTAGTACAAAAACTTTCCCAGTTTGCCAAGAGTTGGGACACGTTCTAGGTGAAATAAATCAGCACAGCTCCATTATGTCACCGAGAGGCCCTCAAGCCTCGTACAGTCCACTATGAGACCACTTTTTTCAGCCTATCAGATATTCTGTTTTTTCAGGCTCCATCCACAATTGTATCTCCAACAGTAGTACAAAAACTTTCCCAGTTTGCCAAGAGTTGGGACACGTTCTAGGTGAAATAAATCAGCACAGCTCCATTATGTCACCGAGAGGCCCTCAAGCCTCGTACAGTCCACTGACTATTATCTGCTGCTGCTGCTTCACGTGGGCACCAGTGACACAGCCAGGAGCAGTCTGAGGACTATCAAGAAGGACTACAGAGCCCTGGGAGC